CTCTATTCGGTTGTTGGGGATGAGGAGAGGGAAGGAAAACCCCCTACCACAAGCCAAGAGACAAGGCTTGATCCCAGGCATAAAACGAAACTCCACTCATTCCTTATATCCTAGGGAACAAGAAAATAAAAGCTGCTTGATTCGAATTAATCGAATGAAACTAATGATAAGAAAACGTGGTGTAGGTAAGTATGTTAAATGTAAGTTTCCTTTTTGCAATTTAGTTAATATCAATTGTTTTATTGTAATTCTTTAGTATGACTGACTGTTCCGCCTTGATTAGCTAATGCTACTCGCGGACTAGACTTGTATTTGCAAATATTTTTCTAACAAAGTTGAAGTTGTTGTTTTTGTTGTTGAAGGCTACTTACAGCTTCAATCTTAGCAGCTTCGGCTTTTAACTTGGCCTGTTGTACAGCAGCTTCCCCTTCAATCCTCGCCGCCTCAGCACGGGACTGCGCTTCAGCTTTAGCCTGTCCTGTTGACTCCACAGCTGCACTCTGCGCTTGTAACTCTAACAGCTCCTTCCTGGCGCGTTCCGCTTCAGCCTCGTCTGTTATCTTTTGTCGCTCAAGTCGGCCCTTGGCTTCTTGTTCCAATCGCTCTGCTTCATGTCTGAAATAACATAAACAATAAATATTGAAAACAAAAGGTTTTGAAGAAAGCTCCCCTACCTTAAAATTTTACATGGTCGGAGACGAATAAGTCTTTAGGAGCTAATTTATCATCCCTGTCTCCCCTTATCTCCCCTGTCCTCCCTAGCCCGTGTCTTCTGTCCTCGTCTCCTTTGTCCCACCTTTCTTAACCCTTTAAGCCCTAAGAGTGATCAGCATCAAATTTCTCCTTGGGATATCAATGCTTTGTAGAACAGAGTGGTCATGAGAATTAAGGACATGATCACACAAGACGAATTTGCTTGATATTTTATCACCCTCTCTTCAGTAGGAAATGAATATGGGCAACAAATGAGAATTCAAATTTTAATCTTAGGGTTTACAGGGTTAACTGCTCATCAGTATCTTCTATTTCCCCTGTCTCTGCCTAGAAAAACGAGAAATACAAATTCGTCGTCGTTTGTTTACATCCACCATAAAAAGGTCGCGTCATGAAATTACACGCTGTAGCCGCGCAGTGGCGATAAAGAAATTTACTCAGAAGTGCGACATACGCAGAAGTGTTCGTTTGCTTGTTAACATTTTCGTCGCCGTCACCATCGCAACATCCTAAACTCCCGAATGGTTCACAAAAGGCCCTCACCTTGCTGTAGCTTCTTGCGAATTCGTTGTGATCTCAATGGCTAACTGGACAGACTTCTGCAGCGCATCTCTCGTACGTTGGTCAACTGGTTCTACAGACTGGATGTCAATACTCGTTATGTTCAGACTGTTTGCTGGAAAAGTAAACTTGTTACGTATTTTGTGATTTTCGTCGAGTCCAAACACTGAAGAACGGATGATCTTTGCTGAATTCTGCAATGTAGACAACAAAAAAGATATTTTTAGTATGAACTGTACCTAATAATACTTTAAGGCCACGTTCACACAATAACGGATAGCTTTTGCGCCGGCACGAATGGGCGCGATGTCTGTAACGGAGTGAAGCTGCGTCACGTCGATCTCGAAAGTCGGTGGAAGGTCACATATCTGATCAGTTCTGTGCCACACTCTTGTGTAGTATGACCAGGTAATCGAGCCGTAGCGGAAGTGAATATGTAAGAGGGCTGGAACCCACTGAGACGGAAGTAAATATTCAGGAGTGAGGACTGGGATTTAGTTCACCAAACCCTCTCGGCCAACCGTTCCGGCAAGTTGTTCGTCGTGTGTGAACGACTTGATCCAATTCTGTGCCGTTGCTGTTCTAGTCTGCAACACAGCCGTTTTTAGTGTCGTCACGCAGCGCTCCTCCCCACTAGTAGGGAGGAGCGTTGCGTGACGACACTAAAAACGGCTGTGTAGCAGACTATTGCTGTTCATACTATACCGAATACCTATTCGTGTCGGCATGAACGGCTTTCTGGTACAGTTTAATTTTAAACATAACCTAAGTTAATAATATCTCGAGGAGAAAAGATTTTTTTACCTTGTGGAAATCGTCAAATTGAACACCAGCGACTGCACCACGGATTCTAGAAGCAATTGCTTTGCAAGCATCTCCAACAAAATCGGGAACAGAAAACAGCTTAGCAGCATCTTTGGTGCTCTTTTCGCCCACTTCAAAGTGCCTGTGACAAGAGAGACAAACAGTTTGAAGCTTAAGGGACCACTATGTGAAGCGTAAATGTAGCACACAATGACTGATTTAATACATAGAAAAAGTACTATCTGATAGCAATAAAGGAAAGTACTGTAAGGTTTGGCTTTGAGTGGGGTGCTTCATAAACAAAATCGAAGGTTAGGAAGTAATATATCAAGCATGAGACGCAGTGTTCCATCACCAGATGAAAAACCGAGAAGAGAGTTGAAAATACGACGCGTAGCGGAGTATTTTTGACGAACTTCATCTGGTGATGAAACACTGTGTGGAATACTTGATATTACTTCTCAAACAAAATGATTTTATAAGAAGAAACCAAGGATGCAAAAATGAGGAGTTTTTCCGTCTGATTTCCAAACACTCATTAAACATTAATTTTCTCTGTATTTTCCTACTGAATTATTAACAAGTTTGAGAAGATCTTGTGCAACATGGAACATAGAATTACTGGGGATGTTACTGAATATCTCTCACTTGAATTTTTGACCACATTGTATGTCATAATAAACGATACTACAGGGACATACAATCTCTTTACGACATTTGACGGGTCCCGCAATCCCATACGGGTGGTTACTCTGTGTGCTGAAAATTCGTGCACAGCGAAATGGGATCGACTCATCGTGTCTATTCACTCCTAAAATGTTCATAGCAGTTTTAGTAAGTTTCTGAGTGTAAGTTACCAGTTGTAGGACAACTGAAGCTGCAGTCTTGCGTGGTCAGAGGTTTCTACAGTCACAATATCAGTACAGAAGTCTGGGCCGAGAAGCAGACACAAGGCTTTGATCACATTTGGTTTCTTTGGTTTTCCTCCTGACAGACTCAGCTGGGTGAACTGTTCATCAGGGCACAGCATGACCAGCTCCGGACCAAACACAACCCTGCAAAGGAACAACAAGAGGGGTTCAGGTATTAACTGGCTCAGATGGATCAAATGTTTCTTTCATAATTCTGCAGTGTTACCTGGCTGTCTTCTCTTTGTAATCGTATATCTGCACCGCTGCATTGTGAGGCACTCGGAAAGTTACAACACTGGTTTTATTTCTTTCAAACCCGCTGGTGGGTTCACCTGTGGAAAAAATTACTTTCGGTAACTGCTTACGCAAAATCAATCAATCGATCAATCAATCAATGATAAACTAGTAATAATCAAAGGTTAGGGAGTGCTGAGCGTGTCTTGCTTCTTCTACACATTCCATTCAATCTTAGTGCAAGATCAAACGAAGTAGAATAAAAAAAGATAATAAATAGGTTAATTAACATTAAATTTAAAATTAGCACACAGCTTGTAAGGAGTGACTGTGGCGGGGAAATCTCCGAAAAGCTAACGAGCTTATGAGGAATGGAGATTTTCCCCCACCCGCAACTTAAATACTTGTGGCCGCATTTCAAAATAAAGAAAAAGACATGTATTTTCAGTATATAAGTGTTTTAGAGAAAAATATAGATATGAAGTGTTAAGATATTTAGGTTGCATCCTGTCTGACCCTTAAAAATGGTTTGATCACACGCTTGAATATATTAAAAGTCGCGGCGATTTTGATGTTGTTCGGTAATGAACTCCATATTCTAGGACCTTGAAACGGGATCGAAAATTTTTTATATTTGTTCTACAGGTCTGAGGACGGTTAAAGTCAGAGTATCGACAGTAATAGTAAAAGCGACCTGAAGATAAGGATCGCGGGTTCCTCTTGTCACTGTCTGATCGCCCGCAATAAATAGTTATTTCATTCACAACATATTCACTGGAAGATCAACCTGCAGAGAACAGCAATGGAAAGAAGACACGTGTGCGACTTTCAAGGCATCAAGAGTCGCCTTTGATTTGAGGTCATGTCCCAAGGTACATATGGAAATTCCACATGCTGCCCGGCCCCACATTGAGGTTTGTACATTCTTTCAAATTTCTCTAGACTGCAAAACATACGCGCGAACAGTCAAACAAAAGGTCTCGAGCGAGGCTGAAAACGGCGAGTGAGACTGGGGAGAAACGCTCGCAAAGTGAGACTTTTACGCTACACTAAACCGATCTTGAGAAAAAAACCCCAACTGTTTTGCAATCTAACATTTCTGTATCGAAACATAAAGCGTAGAAACTGCTATCGATAGAGAAGTGGACCTTCGAATTTAATTTTTATCTACTCTCCAAGTCTCTAATACATTTATGATGATTCTTAAAGTCTCGTGTTTCATTGCTCCTTCCCTTAGTTCTCTGCTTCATGAAACTTTTCGCCACATAGCGGTCTCCGATTTTCAAACGAAGGTATTGTCAAGTCTCGGATTTTATCATTCACCAATCCTACAATTATATCCCATTCTTGAGCATCCAATACAACTCAAAGCCGACAAGATTGACCAATAAAGCAACCCAAATGCTGGGCTACAATGCTATTTATGATGGTATAAAGACATAACGTTAGGGTGGAGCTAGTCTCCCTCGCAGCTGTTTTTGTCTCGTCACGCAACGCTCCTCCAGAGGGGCGTTGCGTGACGAGACAAAAACGGCTGCGAGGGAGGCTAGGGTGGAGCCCCCAGCCCATCCGTACCCCTGTTCCCCTATAGAAAACCAGGTTGATTCAGGGACCGTGGAGCTTATTTTGGATTAGTAGGGCTAGTTCGCGCGTAGCGCTGGCTAAATTTACGACTAAGACCCGAGTTTGTCTGAGGTGATCCGGGGGCATGTTCCCCCGGAAAATTCTGACATTCAAAGCTTCTGAAATTACCGGAAACGCGTTTATTTTCATCAATCCTCATGAGAAAATTTTGTCAAACATTAACAGGGGCGGATCCAGGATTTTTTTTAGGANGTGGCACTCGTCTCCTGCTCTATTGCAACACTACTAAACCCCATATTTTTTTTGTTTACAGAATACAATTGTTATTAGAAAACCGCAGGCCATCGCGGGGGGGGGGGGGTGTGCGCACCCCCTGCACCCGCCCCCTAGATCCGCCCCTGATTAATCACCATTCTGTTAGTTTTCTGCACAAAAACGCCGTACATTTAACGAAGAAAATTGTGTGTGCTTTCCACGCAAAGATTATAAGCACTTTTGTAAATGCAAAAAGGTATTATGACGTACGTCTTAGTTGGCCTGGCTGTCTTGAAGTAGTATGACTCATTGCTTGAGCTTGGAACTCATCCCACTGCCGTGACATTGCCTGTAATCCAGTAAAGTCTAGGCAAGTATTAAAATTAAACGCCCTTTGTTAATCTACTTTAAAAATAGAGAAAGAAGATTAAAATGCTCCGCAAGTTGATGAGTGGGCCAAAAAGACAAAAATGCAAGTTTCCCATGGGATTTCAACCCATGATGTCTTGGAAACTACTCTGGTGCTCTAATATCATTTCAAGAGACTCGATCATGCAAGTTACTCTATTTGCTATTATTTACTATTTTACTATATTATATGGCTGATCCTACTATTATAACGGATGAAAATCACACTTTTTTTAAAAAATAAGTGAATGGCCAAGATCAGTGTTAGTCTCTCAATTTAGCTCAGTGGTTAGAGCACCATCCACCCAAACAAGACCTGAAGTTCACGGGTTGAATCCCACTGGGGACTTTCACACTTCTCATATGATGAACATAAGGTTAACAGCTAATATTCTTACTTTTCATTTGTGGTACAACAACATTTCTTGTGCCTCTGTCTGCCAGGGGATCTTTTCCTCCGACCAAAAGCTGTTCCACTGTCGGTGGCAGTTCTTTCTCCCAAAGTTCTTCATCTTGTGTCAGCATGTATGTCTGTCCACATACTGCTCGCACTCTCCCTGTCTTGATGTCCCGAACATAGATTCCTTCATTTTCGTCCAGTGGAATAGCTTTTCTGCGTGACACAACTTCAACCTGTACAGGGGGGACATACTCGCTAGGACCACGGATCATCCAGCGATCGCCAGGTCGTCTTGGAACTTCTTTCTATAAACAGTAAAGTTAATTATTTCTCCATTAATTATGGTCATAAAAAAGTATTTTGAGCAATTTTGTAACAACAAAAAAAACTTGATGAGTACTGAAAAAGCTCTGTCTTATGGATTATGAAAAATCTCTATGCTTTTCTATTTAAGACTGTTAATTCAAAAGCAACTCATTCCATTTCATGTTGTATTGGTATTCAAAAAAAAGCCAGCTCCTAGTTGCATGCCACAGGTTTTGTCTGAACAAAATAATGTGAAAATCAGAAATATATATACAACTGAAATTCAATAAAAAAAAAACAAGACTTTATGTTACCTCCTTCTCATCAACATCAATAAATCCTTCATTTGCCTTCAAAATCAAGCCCTCATCTTCACCAAGAATAAACACGTCTTGAATGCCTTGCTCGAGTTTCTCTCCTGGAAGCAGGAAAAAGGACTTCTCTCCCTGTTTTGCCAAAAAAACGGTTGAATTTTATTAGATTGTATTGAAGGTAATAATATTCACAATTTCAGAAGGCCGGTGCTCAAAGTGTTCATAAATTAACTGGGTCTGTATACAAATGGGCATGGTAGGCCTTGGAAACTTTGTTAACTCCCTTTGTCTGACAAGGAAATCTTTTTTGTTGCACGCGAACACATCTGGAATCCTTTTCTCACGTTTCTTTCCTGGAAACAGGAAAAAGGACTTCTTTGGTCAAAACACAGTTAACATCTATTGAACTTACTGTAAATTTTCAATTGTAAATGAGCCCTGGGCTTAAACAAATTCGTAAGGGGTTTTAGAAGGGGGCTTTATAATCAATTTAGCTATAAAAAATTGCGACGAAACTTTTCTTAAAAACAATTAAGAAATTTTAAAAAAGTTTAAAATTACACAACGTTTTGACATCACTGGAGGTCATTATCAAGTAAAAAGAAATAAAAAAAAAATGTATGTTCTATAAATACAAGAAAAACAATAGTTCATTAAAAGGAAAGTAACATATAAAAATATGTTACAACTTAAACAAAGAGTTTAGCACTGCTATAGGTGTTAAGGCTAGGCCTCAGTTCTTTGATGAGTAGCATTTTATAAATGAGGCAGTCAAATTTTCCATGGCACTTCTTGAGAATGCAAAATTGACCCTCATTAAGGAGGTATTTGTCACCGTGAGCTTCTTAGAACAAAACAAGTCTTTCAAAACAAAAGTTACATATCAGTGCTGATCAAAATACTTTTAGAATTTGATCGCTTTTTTAACCTTCAAGGCATTGTAAAAAGTCGAATTCATTTCAGTACAAGCTGGAGGTGGAGGTTATAACTGCATGTATTTTTTTGTTTACAAGTAGATGGGCCTGTAAATGGGGGGCTAATAATCGAAAGTTAAGAGTGTTTATGTAGTTGACAACCACCATGTATGTACAATATGTGAAGAAAGATACAAAACAAAATTGTAACCTGGGGTGTGTTCTGAGGGACCAGTAACCCCTGGTGACTTTTGTTTGCCTCTGGGCAGCAAGGAAATATCCACAAAAAGTAAGACAATACTAGGCACACCGGATTTTGTAGGTTTTCAAGTATTAACCCCGCTACAATAAAGTTATTTTACTTGGAGCACAACATGAAGACTCTAAACTAAGAAAAAAAATCAGCAACTGTTACCTTGACTAGTCTCTTCTGGCCCAGCTGTGGTTTGCCATCTTTATCAACTGGATCAAGAATGACACAGTATTGACGATTGTTTAATGTTGTGATGTCAACAACTCCAACAACCTGTAGCAAGGTAAATATTTTATTAGCAGAAATATATCGTTTGTCAGTAAGAGTTTGAAAAAGTAATACTACAGTTAGGTACAGTTCTGGTATGGGTGTGCATGAGTCAAGGAAGCCAGCACAGCTGGAGCTTAACCCAGTTTCTGTATGGCATAAAGCACCTACAATCAGGGACAAAAGTAGTTGACACACTTGTGCACGCTTTTCTCAACAATTTCATTTATTTATTATTTAATTCTGTTTAAACACTGTAACTCCCCCACCCCCGTATCAATGTTGTTAGTAGTACTGAAAAGAAAAACGTGAGGGTCTTAAATACAACATTGATTTTGGGAGAAGGGGGTGGGAGTACACAGGGGGTGAGGATAGACATGTCCACTATGCAAAAAGGAGTCTTTTTTAAAAGTGTCTAAACACTTTTGTTCCTCATTATTGTAGAGTTGTTGCCACTCCGATCTGGATGGAATGCTAACTGCCGATCACACAGCTACCCCTTAAGCTGACTATGCAGTTAACAATGATACCCATTAATTTTATATTCTTAGGTAAAGACGGTCAACGGATGTAATGAAGCAATTGATTGAAATTTCTTGCCTCAAGAAACTGTGAGAATGCAATAGCAAATGAATCTTATACCTCTTCATACACATTGGGAATGTGAGCCTCAGTGTCTGCCATCGTGATCAGCCACTCCTCTCCATTTTTGCGCACAACACCTTTGTCATCTTTAAATGTCCGCGTGGAGCGCAAATGCAGGGCTTTCTGAAATGGAAATAGTTTTTTGGCTGTTAGATGACTTGACTGATAAAATCAGGTGCTAGCTGACCAGAATTGATGGGAATATCAGTCTCCTTATAATATACTAACCAGTAATAAAACATAACAGCCACAAGAATATAGAAAATTATCACCAAAAATCAAATTATTCTTGTGAGCTTGTTAAGAAATATCAAGAGAATAGTGAGGGAAATATGGTTCCAAACAAGGTGTGCGTCAAATGCTCCTTTATAAAGCCCTTCTTTAGATTCAAAGTCATAAACAAAAAAAATGGAAAGGAGAATCTTGCAGTTTATCAAAAGTCACTTGGGGCTTTATTCCAGGCAAAGGGTGCTTCTGATTGGTTCAAGAAAATTTTGCTAGCAGTACAACCAAGCAAAAGCACTATGCAGACCTGAGTATAGTGACATGTCACCAGTACGGAATTTCAGCAGTCATTTCTCAGATGTCATTGATTCTGTGGAGTCGCAAGATGTTGGCCGTTTTCTCCGGGCTATCAATAATAATTGATGACACAGCCTTACAACTCACTTTTTCAGTCAATACATAGGCATCAACCACATCCACCACTTCCTCATAAGCACCTGGAAGGTAAGCACCAATCTTTTTAACCAACCACTCTTCACCAGCGACTCGAAGGTTACCATCACGATCCTAATAAACAATACGAAAACAGTACTCATGAATTATCACAACACAGTCTGATTACTGGATGTTGTATGTAACCTTAAATATCTCTAACTTTACCCAAACAGCAAGTACCTGCTGGCAAAGGGCTCTTAAAAGAGGTAAACGCAAAGAGTCCTCATTTTAAGTCCGCAGCTTGAAACAGTCATCTGACTAACAAACCCGGTCTTTGTGTTTTGACATTAACTGTGATGTTAAAGATACTGAGAATGAAATGCAATTTTAATTTAATTGACAACGGCATCGCTAAAATGGAGGTTGGGTGCTTGGAGTATCCAGGGGCTTCCATTATTAGCAGCCAGCCACTAGATTGAAATAATGCCCCCATGACTGAGACAACAGCGCAACCTAGCCTCGAGCCACGACACAAAAGGAAGGAACAGGCATACATCACACTGGAAAACAACAGTGGAAAAAAAAAGAAAACAGCAACAACGACTAAAAAACAAAGCTTAGGAGAAGCGGAAAGCAAATGGCAAAAAGAACCTCATGAGCTGAAAAAAAACCAGCACCAAGGACTGAACGTGCCAGTGAATCACATGATCGATGTAGTGAGCTACTGAGCATGCACATGTCAAAAGACCGCTGACCCCAGGCACTTAAGGGGCTCTTAGTTCTTAACTCCTTTAAACTGCATTTAAATGCATTAATTACTTTAGAATATTGTAGCTAATAATGTTATGGTGTGTAAAGAATAAAGCGAATGTCATGACGCTTCTTTTTTGGGGCAAACCTTTGCACTCCATGTGACAAACAAAGGATATGCATGTATAGATGGTGGGATGTGGGTGCCAAAATAATGATATTGTCTCCACGTATGACAGAATTCAAGATGGCACTGAAAAGGTGCACCAACAACAAAAAGGTCACTGCTTGGTTATGGCAGCACAGGTCACCCAAGATTATATGAAAAAAAATATACTCAATTCTTTGAGTCTAAAACTCAGCATAAAACATGACTACCTTTGTTTCTTTTCTTGCTCTTAATCTGATGGCTTGATTTGGTTGAATAATTGTGGCTCGGATTGTTTCAACTACCTCAACTTCTTTCTTTGGGATATAAGTCCCTGCAAATGGTAAAACACACAATGGCATTACATTATTGGGTTCCCTGTGCCCACAGTCACCATCATTAAAGTTCTATGTATTTACAAATAACTTGGCAGGTTTACTAATTTTTTAGTGGGGCGGGGGATAGTGGGCTGCTGGATAAAAGCTGAGTTTTGTAATGACAAGGCAATAATAACCTACCGATAAAAAATTGACCACAAGTACCTATTTAGACACTTCAAATTCTTATGACACTCGATCTTGGGTCAACAATTTTTATTAACCTTTTTAAGTGTGTAAACAAGTACTTTTACACTATTCTCTAACAGACTACGTAGGAAATTATTTTCTTTTAGAGGTTTCCTTTGCAAATTTACCCCCCCCCCCTCCTTCCCCCCAAAAAAGAAATACTTCAATAAAAACAATTATGAAATTTATAACCTACCTGGTCCCTCAAACAGCCATTCATCACCTGCAATTCTTTTCTCTCCAGATTCAGACTCATAATCCAGCATAGCTCTAAGTCTGATTGCAGAGTTAGCCATTACAACCTTCAAGGATGTGACACCTAGTTTCAACACTTCTCCAGGATATAAAGGAAATGGGTCTTGAGCCAGGCGAATATCCTACAACACAACATAACCAGTCAAAGAGGGAAGATATGAAGTGCATCTTACAACACGTATAACAATTCTTTAATACCATCTTAATCATGACAGATTCTAAGGACCTGTTTACATGGAAGTGGCGGACCCCAGGTAGGTGCAGTTACCTGCTTAGGTGGGGTAACCTACCTGTCCATATAATCCCTCGTAATAATTTGATCACATGTACATGATAGGTGGGGTGACCCGCCGCGAGTTACCTCACCTACCTGGGGTCCCCCACCTCCATGTAAACTGAGGCCCTAAGTAAAGTTTATGAATTACAGATTTTTACTAGTTGGTACTAATATCTATTTGATTAGCAAAGCCAGAGATGGTAAGTGCTTTATTATGAAGAACAAATGTAAAATCTCATGAATAACAGAGTGTAATGTGGCTATTGTTGTTGATAATCACCTGATCTGCATGAGCAAGCTTAATTTGTCCATTGATGTCAACCACCACACGATCATCTTTGTCTCTCAGCACTGGATTCTCAACCACACAATAATGACGAGGAGGAACTGTGATCATTTTATCAGGGCCAAGAATGACCTGCAAAAATATGTGGAAAATAGTTTTATTTTGGAAATGCTCTGTAATAAGGCCCAATGGCTTAACCCTTATTATACAGAACTCTTAATAGAAAAAATTAATGTCATATTTGTTTTTCTGACTTTGCAGACAAAATCATGATTCTCTCTAATTTTATTCCAAAGTTAAGTGTAGTTTGCCCCCTTGAAATGATTGAGTTTACAGTACAGGCCTAAAAAAGGTAAAGATATAAATTAAAGCACACACTTTATATTGCACAGTAAATTTAATTTCTCTATAAATATCAAGACACCAGGCCCTGGTTGTTCAAACAATGGATAGCACTATCCACCAGATAATGATGAGTATTAGGGAAACCAATTGCGCTATCCAGTGGATAGAGATTTATCCAGTGGATAGCACTATCCAGCTTTTAAAAACTGGGGCCAGATGAATAGACATATGAATTTGCATTTCATGTACAAAGTTGACATATTTTGATTTTCGGGAATAGGTATGGGGTGAGAGGTTTCTTATCTTCGGAATCAAGACAGTGTCCTGTCCATGACAGAGAGATGCACCTTCACCAATAATAGACCTAAAAAAAGGAGCTATTCTGGACAATCTTTAGCACTAACCATAGAAATTCTTGTAGGCCGTTTGGTTGAGAGATATTGTCTACAAAAGTACCAGAACATGTAAAAAGACCGAGTGTCAGTATTGTTACCTTTTCATTGTCCTGCCGTATGAAGGTCTTTGGTCCAACTTCAACCTTGGTGACATTGGTGTTCTGGTCCAAGACATGAATGTAGTAATATGGTGGGATGCGGTAGATGCTCTCGCCCTCTTGAGATGTGGGAGCTCCTTTACGACTCATTCTATAAGCTTAGCCCTTTCAAAACAGTGACAAGATTAGTCACATTACATGTAGTTTGAATAATTAAAGGTATTTCCATAATCAAACAAATGTTGTAATGGTTATATGTTCAAAGGGGAAAAAGGATCAGAGACCTACCCTCTTAATCACTTAAGCAGTTACCGCACACATGCAGCTAAATGTAACATGTATGACAGGGGCGTGGTACATGTACTCTGTATGAGCGTCTCATGGGGAGGCTCCCCCGTCCCCAAAAAAAGGCATCCTTTTCACGCCTCAGGTGTACAAGAGGGAGAGAGTTAAAGGATTTGAAAGGGTATGAAAATCTGTTATATAGCTATTTAAAAGGACCTATAATTAAAATATTTTGGACAGAAACACCTTACCTTGTATGTAAAAACAATATTACTTTACTTTAACCTTCCATAATGTCATTTTTAACTTTATTCTAAGTGTTAAGAAAAGGGATGTACTTGTGAGTTGTAGGCATATGAAAGGTACAGAACAAAATGTGACAGATATATTCACAGCTTCTTCTCTATCCCAGACACACTTTCCCTGAATAAATTCTTCCCCAGGATGGTTAAATCTTAACCAGTGATTTTGGTACCTCTTCCTCCTGCGTTCCTGACGCATAAAAATCCCCAAAGACCCAAAATAATTCATAGCATGCATCCCACAGGACACACAGACCGATCGATTGATCTAAACATGTGTACCTGTAGAAATATCCCGTTTGCATAATTTCTGTGGAAGTTATTATGGCTGTTGTTAAATGATGCATATTTCTTTTAGCCTTTGTTGTGCTTTAGAATAGAAGGATATATTTTAATTTCAGTACACTGTAATACAGAGTTTTGGAGTATATCTTCAGGTTAACAGTCTGGTTACACAAAGGCTAAAGCATTTTCAATGTCGGACTCCTTTTTTTAGACTGGGACTCATTGGTTTTGGACTGGGCCTCATGATTTTTCACAAGACGAGTCCCAGACTCACAATAACTATTTGTAACAAAATCACTGTGTCCTCGCAAAGACGGGCATTATCATTTTTATATTGCATATTTAGCTGTGTGAACCAAGCCCCCGTACCAGCCCCCAAATCAATAGGATTGATAGTTTGTTTGCAGACTTGCAACTGTCTGTCATGTCAATAAATATAACTGTGTTGCTCTGGCAGTTAACAGTTGTCTAGATGGAAAGTTAATTGTTTAAAAGTATTCACTATGAAGCTTGGAATTCCGCTCACAAAGTAGAAAATTTCACATTTTTTCCCGGTTTAATGAGAAGATCCTAGCTCCAAGCTAAGCTGACCCGGCTTGTGAAGGCAACAACAAACTAACAGAGAAAAACTCGTGAGATTGGGATTTTTCCTACTGGGTCCCACGCTCGTGGCTATAATTAAACGACATCGAAAATGCAAGTTTTAAAAATTTTTAGCTTTAACCAACATTCTCTTGCAAAATTGATACTGTGTGAGGTTGCATGCATATGGTCAATAATTATTTATCTTCTCCTCCAGCTTGTTCTATTGGAATCCTTATATCCACTATATATAAAAGCTACCAACAAAGTTCTTCCCTCACCTTAGTTCTTGCAAAGATCAGAAAGGAACTTGTTACTATTGGAAAGTAAAAGTTTTCAGATACTGATAGGTTCGAACTATCCGAGGGCGTCGAAACTGCAAGGTACTTCATTTTTGGGTCATCCAATCACAAGCTCACAAAATGCGTCATAACCTTTCTTTGACCAATCAACTAATCAGCCATTGGATCCCAGGTGAAAGTTGTTTTCTTTTTAGCAGTGATCATCAAAAAAATTGCAATACTTTGCAGAAGTCTTTTAGATCTCTTCCCACGCCCAAAATTCAATTGCATTTTCAGTGGTACAGCCGCTATCTTGGGTCGTAGAACACGTTGAAAAGAGGTGGGGGTGGGGCGAGACTGGAGCCCGGGACTGGAGAAGTGGCTGCGTAGCACTAACCCACACTACCCCCCGCTTAGTCTATGTTATACCAAGGAATTGACGCTCAACAGGTGATCGAAATGTTGCTATGTTTAGTGATATATCAATAGCAAATCAATCATAATAAAAAATACAAGTAAATTTTATTTGTAAAAAATCAAAGAGTGGGTGTTAATTCTATCCTGAGAATAGTTTACCACACCTTTTCCCTAAAGTATCTTGACATCAATGGAAGGATAAAAACCTCCCTGGGCTCCAGGTCTGTCTCACGCCCTGCTCCCTCTTCTTGTGCATCCCACTACAGTGAAGGATCCGTCATTGCAATAAGCTTACACAACACACAACACACCAAATGTCATTTTCCTTTCAAAACAGAGAGCTCAAAATTAAATGACCATCTCCTTTAGTTTTTTTTTGGCACCCCAAATCCTCTCTGTGATAGCCCCAAGGGGGTTTTCTATGGAGGTATGTTACTAAGTCCTTCAGACTCTGGACCTGTTCCAGACAAAAAGAGATCAATTTGTAACCTTGCTGTTCCAGACCTCCATGTGGAACCACCTCCCATAAGCGACTGCCTATCCAAAACACCAACATTTTCCCAGCAAAATCACTACAGATACAAACCTCTTGTAAACGACCACCCCTCATAAGTGACCCATGGCGCTCGAATTTTCCACAGTTTTTACCCTCCTGTAATGAGCAACCACTTAATTGAGGCATTGTTTGATCTCTATGTAGCCTGACAGAACAGACAACATTTTGCGACACCACCAACGGTTTCCCCGCAAAATGACGTCTGAGAAACAAGCCCAGAAATTCCATACTGATATGGGTCACTACCCAGATCTGGGTAGTACTTCTGATTGGTTGAGGCAAATTTCACCAATGGAAGAGAACCCTTGTGGTTCAATTCCCGTAAGCGATTACGAAATCTTCGCATTTTGAGTGGTTGCTTACGGGAGGTGTGACTGCAGTAAGAATTTTGTTCCTGTCACTAGCTCAGTGATAAAATAACAAGGGAAATGTAGTTTTGCACCCAAGCTTGATCGAGACACACGTTATCTGTGGGTTTTGAAAGAAAATGGCAAACTAAATCAACACACAAGGTTACAACACTAACCCCAGAACACTTTATTGTGCAATGTTATATATCACTGCCTATTTACAGCTATATTTGAGAAAACCTTCACAGAGTTGTGTCCTATTTTATTATCAATTTTTGACAGATTCAAACCATTAATTCTTTGAGAAATAACTGGTCATAACGTTACTTTGTTCCCATATATGATAACGGTCATCGATCAATTTTAAGCTGTCTAAGCCTACTTAGTTTTTGGCTACAATATATTTATTAATAATCTATGTAAACATTATTAGACTGACTGATGGTGACTGACAGTAATTTTATTTCCAAGCTACCAAAGTAGTGTCTGTTATCTCTGCATTAGGCATGGCATTCTGCTGACATAGTACGGCTATTGAGTTATGACAGTGGCCAGCCCGACCCAACAGAATGTTGTTGTTGCAGTATTAGCTTAACACGGTACTGTCAATATTTCTGGCCCACAGGAACTGCTACAGTGCAGGCCTATCTTAAGAGGGCAAATGCAGATTACTGTGTGTAATAAACTACTTCACACCCCATACTGACTCAGTGTTTTTGCAATGCTAGGCTTAGACAGCCAAAAGAGACGGAAACAAATATTGATTTTGGGAGAAGGGGGTGGGAGTACACAGGGGGTGAGGATAGACATGTCCACTATGCAAAAAGGAGTCTTTTTTAAAAGTGTCTAAACACTTTTGTTCCTCATTATTGTAGAGTTGTTGCCACTCCCATCTGGATGGAATGCTAACTGTCGATCACACAGCTACCCCTTAAGCTGACTATGCAGTTAACAATGATACCCGTTAATTTTATATTCTTAGGTAAAGACAGTCAACGGATACAATTGATTGAAATTTCTTGCCTCAAGAAACTGTGAGAATGCAATAGCAAATGAATCTTATACCTCTTCATACACATTGGGAATGTGAGCCTCAGTGTCTGCCATCGTGATCAGCCATTCCTCTCCATTTTTGCGCACAACACCTTTGTCATCTTTAAATGTCCGCGTGGAGCGCAAATGCAGGGCTTTCTGAAATGGAAATAGTTTTTTGGCTGTTAGATGACTTGACTGATAAAATCAGGTGCTGGCTGACCAGAATTTATGGGAATATCAGTCTCCTTATAATATACTAACCGGTATTAAAACATAACAGCCACAAGAATGTAGAAATTATCACCAAAATAAGGTGCGCGTGGAAAGCTCCTTTATAAAGCCCTTCTTTAGATTCAAAGTTATGAACAAAAAAATGGAAAGGAGAATCTTGCAGTTTATCAAAAGTCACTTGGGGCTTTATTCCAGGCAAAGGGTGCTTCTTATCGGTTCAGGAAAATTTCGCTGGCAGTACAACCAAGCAAAAGCACTATCCAGATCTGGGTAGTGACATGTCACCAGTACGGAATTTCAGCAGTCATTTCTCAGATGTCATTGATTCTGTGGAATCGCAAGATGTTGGCCGTTTTTTCTGGCTATCAACAATAATTGATGACACGGCCTTACAACTCACTTTTTCAGTTAATACATAGGCATCAACCACATCCACCACTTCCTCATAAGCACCTGGGAGGTAAGCGCCAATCTTTTTCACCAACCACTCTTCACCAGCAACTCGAAGGTTACCATCACGATCCTAATAAACAATACGAGAAAAGTACTCATGAATTATCGCAACACAGTCTGATTACTGGATGTTGTATGTCACCTTAAATATCCCCAACTTTACCCAAACATTTAAAGGTAACTGCTGGCAAAGGGGTCTTAAAAGAGGTAAAGGTAAAGAGTCCGGATCAAGTTAGGTTTCTGGGAAACTGCCCACCTACCCCTCCCCTAAGCTAACATTAACACTTACTTCTTACCTAGGGCAAACTTTTGGCTTAGGGGAGAGGAAGTGGTCAGTTTCCAAGAAACCTAAATTGCTCCAACAGTCTTTATT